GAACTTTGGGAAGTACACTGTTGGGAGAATCGAGATGCCTGCGCTCGAACACCTTGAAATGGTAGGAGACACCCGTGCGTTAGACTGTATCTCCGCGCCCCGTTTCCAGTCTTTCAAAATCACCGGTGAACCGTTCGCCAACGTGAATCACGACCCCAGAGCATCTCCAGTACTAGATTTCCTTCGCTATTCAGAACGTTCGATCCACGGAATGGAGGTCAACAGGGTTGGCACCTACGATAATCTAGTGGCTATTTTATCCCAGACGCCTTCACTCGAATCTCTTACATGCAACGTTTCTTTCAACAGAGCTTTCCTAACGAAGATGAAATCCCCTTCTTCATTGCTTCCTCAGCTGCATACTCTTACGCTTCGATTTCACGATCTCATCCGGTTCCCCCATGTTAAATTCATTCTTGATGTGGTCGAGTCGAGGTTGGAAGGTGGATTTTTGAAGCGTGTGAGCATTCACCTCGTCGGCAGGACCTCCATCAAAATGTTCGATGAGCGATTGGCCCCCATAAATGCCACATCAGATGTCACAGTTTTTCTCGAGGACAGCGATTTATTTTCTGCGGTAGCTGGGGAGGATTACGACGGTGATATTTACATGCAACAAGTTTATAACGGCTTTGTGACAGAAGACGATCTTCCGTGAGAATGACTTTAATATGTTTTGGGCCAGGAGAATTTTGCGTTTTACATTTGCATGCTTGCGTTCATTTGCGTTCATTTGCGTTTTATTGGCGATCATTTGCGTTCCTATCAATGCGTTTATGACATCATTGATGTATGTTAGTACATATAAATGCGAGGGAAATATACGCACTAGAAGCCTTTCTGATCCTTAAGAGCTTTGACCGCTGTTCCATGTATATTACGGTTCCAAGTTAGGTGTTTGAGACCTGATAAGCAGTAAATAACCCACCTATGAGGTCCTGTTAGTTGGCCCGATAGTCTGATTGCAGTATAACACCATCAGAAAATCATTGGAGGCCCGCACACGAGTCAGGCATGCGAACGCAAGCACCAATCAAGCCAATGCAAGGGGCAAAAACAATTCAGTGTGGTAGCCTGCGTGGTTGCGTGGTTGCGTGGTGCGTGGCTGCGTGGTTGTCAGCGTGGTTGAGAAATCGCGGGACTCCGATCAAAAGTTGATCAACTCTATCAAACGCGACGAGAGTCAACGCGTTCCGTTCATTTCTGTTCTTCCTTGCATAGAATAAGCTTTATGGTGATCTGTAAGGCTTAAATATGAACGATTTGCTAAGATATTGAGATACTCTAATATATGGTCAATATCACAAAAATAATATTCGAAGGGATTGCCAAGTTTAAGAGTATCAAAAGCATTGTAGCCGAAGTAGATAATTTTATGAGTGTCCTAACAGTATAAACTGCCTTAGAGGCAGTTGTTTAAGCAAGAAGTAATAAGGTACACAATGTGGGGTTCCTATGAAGAGGACACCATGAGAAGAGTATTTTGTAGTTGGTATGAGTGACACCAAAGAAACAAGCCGTTTAAAAAGCAATGACACCAGGTCACCTTCAGAAAATGGATGATTTGTATCAACTTGCGTGATCTTAATGTGATGGCGGCGTGGTGAGCATGCGTGACCGCATGGTGGCGTGGCCGATCGGTGTGGTCGAGCGTGGTGTGCCTGCGTGGTGTGCCTGCGTGGCTGCGTGGTTGCGTGGTACATGAGCGTGGTCGGCTGCGTGGTCAAGGGTTAAATTTCAGAGAAAAAAGTAACCTCATTAGTGTGTTTTATGGCCAACTGGGATAGTGCTCGACGCATCTAAGTTGTATAAAAGCTGTATTTGTGTGAAATTCATGGGTAATTTATGTCTACAACACAAGTTGAAAAAAATTTAAGTACTTAGAACAAGAGAGCACCACAGTTTCAACATATAACCATCTCAGAATCATATCTACATACATTTAAGATGTGCTGGTGACTAGAAATCATAGATCCGAAGTTCCACACACTGTACTTTGCAAGACTTAAGCTTAAAATCATTTTCCGATCCACTTATGCTTGCTCCAGATAATTCACATTTGAAAACAAAAGAAACATACTGATATCTCACAGAAGATTTCTGAGCATTGCAGAATATATATATACTAAATTTATTGTGTTCAACCAGAGTTGAACAGGTGACATGCATGGCTGTGTGGCCACGGACCATGCCAGTGTGGTACCATGCAGGTGACCATGCTGAATTTCTAGTGCCCCAATGCAAGTGTTTCAATCACAAACACATGCATTAAAATAACCTATGCATGCATTTGAATGTAAACACAAGTGTTCTAATATTTCTCACAAGTGTTCCAGCAAGAACATAAATGGTAAAGCATCCCACACATGCATTACAAGAAAAATGCAATTGAATGCAAATGTAACATGTTTGTCATGTTTGCGTTTAGCTTCAGTTTCAACAGAGTTCAACTCCAGTGACATTCACCTTTTTCTTCTTATGATAGTCTGACAACAATGATCTGTGTATCACTCTTGCCATATTATCACTTAATGGGATCTTCTATACTCGAAATTTCCCCAAATGTCCTTAGGAGTCTCTTTCAAAAAGGCATCCATCCAAACATGCCCGAACGAGTTGAACGAACTATGTAGCCATATTGTGAAGAAATTGTTGCATGAGAAACACTGAGTCCTTGCTGCAGAAAACCAAGATACCATGGGTTTATCATTCGTCCACCTTTTTGCACAATCTAACTTTAATGAATGTCAGTGAAAGAGAATGTCTCGGAAAATCCCAAGACTTGACTGGATGAGGAATCAACATCTTTGAGTTCTCCATGATGACAGAAGCTGAAATGTATGAATGGGTCTGGTAAGCTACTTCTCCCTTTGATATCTGAGCTTGTAAAAATTGAATCATCAGGCTACCTATTGCATAATGCATTTCCATTGTGATACCAGCACAGAGGCGGAAAATGCTGTCAAGCATTAGAGTTGGGAACACCGCCATGTGCCCCAGAGATATACTCTCTCACATTTGCAATTTGGTTGTTTGCCCCAAATGTTCCCTGACTACAATTAGCTTTGTCAATGCAATAATGGATGATAACCTGCCTCCCATACTCCGACTATCACATCAGCTCATTTCACACACCTTTGAGTGGAACGAGCCATTGAAGGAATCAAATGTGACTATGAAGTCTTTGTTTCTTGAGATGTCAAAGACTGTTTGCATCGGAGATGCTCTCCATCACACTCTTCTTCCCTGTTTGGAGTTTCTGGAGTTCGATTTTGCCCTGGTCGATTTTGACACTGAATTATCTCGATTCCGAATTTGTGGAGATGATTGCTTTGCAGCGTGTTCCGCTCGCTTCACGGATGCTTCACTTGCTCTGGATCAATGTCCAAGGGAGGCGAGTTCAGCTGCCTTTCACAGACAATTTTGGTTTTGGTTTGAAGACGCTGAAGCATTTGCGGGATGATGGATTGGAGCTCTGCCTACACCTGCGTGATTGGGAAGAGAATGCATTGCAGCACCTATCAGATTCGGAAGATGATTGAGTGGACTTGTGCATTTCCTTTAGTTTGTCTTGACAGTATTACACTACATTTAAATAATTGTGTTGTCACTATCTAGTATTTGATGACACAGTGTTTGAAAGCATACTGTTGTGTTATTCAAGATGTGCCATAATAAGACAACAAGCCCATACAGTGGCGAGACGACTATCTTTTGGGAAAGACTTCAATTAGATAGTGGTGCGCTAGGCATGTACACTCTGAATACAGAAAAAGTAGTCAAGTCAAGAAAGAACAATAAAGTCTTAAATATTGGAATCATGAGGCTCAGGACCATGAAGCGAGCGAGAGAAAAGGGTATGATATATCCATTGCAAACGAGATGGTGTACACTATGTAAGTACAGTCCTTTTATACGACAGTTCTGGCTAAAGCCATGCGTATAAGCAACAAATATGTACAACTAATGAAAGAATAATAAGATATGGACAAGCGGCGACTGCTAAGATGAGCACCCCAACAGTTAATGATCAGCACCGTTGCTTGGTGACAATGTGAGCTCGAACATCAAACATTAAATCCATGCCAAGCTCACATTGATCCGGAAATAAATATGTTTCGGTATCTAGAACACACAGTAGACGTGTCCACAACACTTTCGAAGGTCAGGACAAGGAGTTGAACTTTAAACTCAAGCATGTCACGCTTGCAAACGATGTCACACTTGCAAATGCAAACACAAATGATCTGAACGCATGCATATGAATGCAAATGCAAATGCAAATGGCAGCTCGCAAGAGAACGCAAGCTCGCAAATGTAAAACGCAAAATTCTACGTGCCCATATGTTTTCTAGGTGAGCAAGCCCTGTATTCGGCAGTGATGATATCACTGACACGCACACATTTAGGTGCATGATACGAGCAATTTCTCTTGGAATTATCCCTACATACTTCACTGTAAACCAACGATAGATCATTTCCTTCTTCAGTACGATTATGCCACGGTGACTGTTGATAATGCCTGCTCTAAGGAGGAAAATCGTCTACGTGAGCTTGTATTTCCTTCTCGATTATTTCGCACGAGAGAAAGCTGAAAATATGAACACCAAGCCCGAGCCTGAATCATAGAACAGGGAGCACCTTCAGTCGATGTGCCTTCCAGAAGGGCCAACATCATTCTCGCAATGCTTTTCGGAACAACCGGACCCGGGCCAGTGAATGAACACGGCAACCAATAAATTGGAAAAGATATCGACGGTCGTCTCCATATCTGATACCTTCCGAGCTAATTTATTTTGGCTAACCTATGGAAGCTAAGCTTATGGACAATTTGGACATCAACATCATGGATGACCCAATCTTCTGGACATTAAGTAGTCAGGGACAACGCAAGTAGAACCACATAATGCCATAGCTAAGTACTCATATGTGGTGACTAATTTCTTGTGCGGCACCATACAAAACTGCAAACACTTAAAAATCCATGTTAGGCAAACTCATACACCGAAGGGGAGTCGAACCCCTACCGCTTGCTCGAAATCCACACTTCTGTATGGAAGGCAAGCATGATAACCGTTTCACCATCGGCATTCAAGTACCGCAGCAGATCTGTACTTAGTAGTCCCCGTACCTTCGTCACATTACTTAGATGGAGGAAATCCAAAACAAATCAGAATACCTTGGTTGGGCGAAATGATGCATCGGTTCTGGATGAAAGGCAATTAAGAAAGTGCTTCCATCACTTAATACCACTCCGAATCCGACGATGTGAACTCCTAGTCAACCTCAGAATTTCCTAGCCATTCTGGTCAGCTGAGAGTGCAAAGATTAGACGCAACGCACCGAAAATTAATACAATCATTATATGTTTCCTTGTTACGAGGTAATCTCACTCTTTCGGGACGTCGTGTAACAACTGGAATTAATAGTTAGCGAACAAGCAATGCACAGAATAAAAATATCTTGAATGTATTGAACATAAGTACCACTTGAAAAAGCTGTATAGCCGTATTGAAGACTGGGGTTGAGCTGCAGTACAGGCACGTAATTAACTTCCGACCAATCAGATAAGAACCACGAGTACGGAGTTATCAGAATGTTTGTTATCCTGGGGAAGATCACCAGACAGAGCCTCAAGCAGCACCAGGTCGAAAATTTGTTGGTACTGAAAGATAATCAAGCCTGGGCGTTGATTTATATGACATAGAAACATACCAGATAGATGGAGTTTCTAGTGTTCCATCCCCCGAGGCTCGTCCTATTTCCATAACATTTACGGTCGCCTTTGTGTCTCTGGAAATCGGAGGCGATGTTGAAACGAGAAATAAGATGAAATGTTGGGTACAGTTGGTTGACTGAGCAGTTCCACGAGCGAGGGCACGCCATTCGAACCGAACTTTATTCAGAGACCGAGGGCAGAAATGTAGGATGTGGAAAAAATGTCAAGCTCCGACTATTTAAAGGAGTGCACACTTGGAACGTCGGTGAAGTCACCTGAAGCAAGGAGCGAAATAATCGAGCGAAAAATCGAAATAAATAGGCGGTGCATTCAGCGATTCGTCAGAATTACACATTCCACATCGCAATGTGGTACGTGGTTTAACCCACAAGCATGGCCTAAGTAACAAGTCCTAGTGGAACAAAAAGTAAGCATATCTGTGAACCGCAATGAACACACGATGGACCACTAAAGATAAGGACATGTTCCAATTCTTAGACGGGGACAGATAAATAAGTGGTTCCCATTTCTCATGGGAGGATGCAGGGTTATGGTTCAGTCGCGAGGACGGATATCGATGAGCATCTCCACATTTTCCATCCATCTCGCTCATAGGACAAGCCTCAGTAAGTTCGTACAGTACTGGCAACAGGCGATGTCAAGGTCGCCGATTCAATAGGATCGATGACTTGACGGCTTCTTTCCCTAGCAATCCTAATAACAGCTTTATTTAGTGCTATTAGATAAAATTGGCGATATAAGCAAGGAGAACGGATTCTTGGAATGTACCTCAAACCCCCAATCTCAGCATGATACCTTGAGAAAAGAGGAAATGATAGCGAAATGATGGCCAATGACAAGCATATCCAGTCCGAATAATACCGAACTGGATCAACGCATATGATGGACGCGTATCTTGTTAAATAGTAAACAGGCTTTGCTGTGAATTTAAACCAATGCTTTTTTTCAGACACGATTTCAAGGCTTACGAGTGGCGCGCGACGATCGGGGATCGAACACCCTAACCCCCAAAAAAAGATGCTCATGGAAATGTCATAAGAAAGAAGCGGAAGCCACTAAGCCACTCTACACCTTCCTGGACAGAGAGACTCTTGGTCCATCGTAATGCTACTGCCATGTAAATCGTTCTCTAACACATCTCCCACTTGCTTAGTCTTACCTTCGAAAAATCAGCAATATCGGAATGATACTTCCAATCGACAAAGAAAACATCAGTTGAAGAAAAAATTATGACATCTTTGTGAATGTATAGGTCGTCGGAAGACCTCCTACATTGAGTGTAGGCTTCCATTAGTTGGCCCGGGAAATAACATACCATGCACTGCGTGCGCGACTAAAATAGATGTTAGGACTGAGTCAGAGGCTAAAAGCAAAGGTCGTGGTAAGACGTGACTCACCCTACTTGGAGTACCGTCGCTAGTTTGCTAGAAAAGCCGGGTTGGGACATCAAATTCAAAGTTGACGGCGGAAAGTTTCCAGGAATAGCCCGGACAATCCCGGAAAATGCCGACGGCTCTCTCCTGAAGCCATGATCATAGCTCACTTCGCCTTGATAATTACGCTCAAACCCTGAAATACCATGCCCTCAACACTCCGCCTTCGCTACAGCTCCCTTCTACTCCGACACACACCACCTCATCGACATCATCAACCACCTGTGCGAAGGATGTATGCACAGCGACGGTGCTGCCATCGACAGTCTCGTCGTTCTTAGCTTAGGGTGCTTGCTGTGTTAGAGGAGAATGGCCGTCAACATCATCGATAGGGCTTATCAGCTTGGCCTTTGCAGAAAGTTGGAGTTGCACTGCCTTTGACTCAGCGTCATCTCTGAAAAAGCTGGTACGTCGGAGGTCGACAGCTGGATGCTTATTAGCCTGGAGAGGATCTCACCAGAACCTTGATGGTACGTCGTGTCTCATCCACCTCGGTTTCCTCGCAATCTGTCTTCCACTTGCGTATATGTACCGATGCGAAGCTCGTCGCACCCTTCTAACCAAGAACTCCAAGGTGAATACGGCAGATACGGCCAAATTCGCGCTTGATTGGACAAGGAAGATGTAGGATATATAAGTACCCGATTGGAGGAGGTTGATGTTATGTGGAATCGAGCGTTACGACAGATGACGAGGGTGTGAGGAAGGCTTGGGCGCGTCTTTCAGGGCTGAATATTGGGGTGCGCATAGAAGGCGAGTGTCTAGAGATGATTGGTGGACATCTAAGGCTGGCGCTCTATGTCGAAGTGAAACATGCTCCTGACTGCAGACGACGGAGGGCTTCATTGTGAGCTTTGGTTTTCTTCTTTGTTTCTTACAGTCATTGATATCTTCTTTAGATCGAACGCGCGCTTCAATTTCTACTGCTATTGTTTTAACTTCGACGTGTTCTAGCAAGCGAGCGCCATACGAAGCTGCACACTACGGACTTGTCATCGATTTCTCGCCATGGGAAGGGACACCGCCCGCTTCTCTCTTCGTGATTGGTGATTTGTTTGGGCCTTTCGAGGCTTATGTCTCCCTGGGCCCTTCCCCTTGTCGAGTCGGGGGTTTCGATGGTAGTCTGGTTACACAGAGGAGCTGTGTTTCCTCGTGTACGAGAATGTCGTCCTTCTCGTGTCGTCTTTTCTTTAATCAGGCGACGAAGTGTCAAGGATCAGATCGACCTCGTGAAGATGGCTTCAACGCCGGTCTGTAACACTATTCAGTTCTCTTGTTGCGTCTAACCAGCTGGCATTGACAGATACATGCAAAACGAAGAAATGAATAAAGGAAGAATGTCTTTACGTTTTACTACATCAACATAATATTTCGGAACATGAACCTTCGATCCTTCGCCAACTCGCCGCCTCCAAAGCTGTGGGCCTCTTCCTCAACATTTGGTTTCAAGATGAGAAGCATATGATCCATGACGGGACCAATGTACACCCCATTAACAGTTCCCAGCGCCAGTCGGTCGCGTATGAAGGTCATGGCTCCAACACTCGCATCCTCGGTACCCGCCTTTACAACCAGATCCTTGAGCCCAAACAGATTGACTTTCCCTCCTCCGGATTTACCCTCCCTATAATTCATGAATTTCAAGAAATCATTACAGCAACAATGCAGTACGAGTTTGAAGAGATTCCCGCGTGTCAGTCGGCGGAGGAACGCAAGTACGAGGGGTAACGATTCCTCCTTTGCCTGGTTTAGTTCTTGTTCGGAAAAGTCTTCCGGAGGAAGAGCGATCCCTATGAGCCTGAGGTCGAGTAGCTCCTCGATTCGGACGTACTTCAACACGTCGGCCAGGACGACGCTGCTGTTTTCGTTCTCGTTGTGGCTGTTGATCGTCAGCATGCGGAGGGCGGGGAAATCAAATGCTCGGAAAATCTGCTGCGCTTCGCGAGGATCGATGTAGACCAACTTGAGCTTCTTGACATGGGGAAGCGTCAAGCGAGACCCCGAAGATGGCGGGTTCCCCAGCTCCTCGTCAAGGCCGATCACGTAAGTGAGTTCCAGATATTCCAAAGTGTTTTGGCTATTGAAAAGAATTCCTCGCAGAATCTCCATCGAAGGCCGTTCCTCCAATGGCTGGTTCTCAAGATAAAGCTCGCGCAAGTTCGACGCGCAGAACCCCGCCCAATGTGTGGGAACACCGGACAAACAGACGTCTTTGAGAGCGAGATACAGCGCGCTGTTGTAACTCTGCAGATCCTGACAAGTCGGTGGAAGGGCATCGTCATCCCGCGGGTAATCGAGTAGGGTAACCGGTTCGGTCTCTTCTTCGTAGACGTCCATGCCTACCCTGATTTCGGAACATAGAGCGGTGAGGGAGCAGGATTGTAGGCGTGGCATGGGGATCCCGTGTAGCTCTATGCAGAGGAGATGGATTTCGGGCCAATCTAGTGTCTCGATACGGAGCGAGCGGATACGATGTGCGTGATCAGCGAGGAGCTGAGAGAATATCAAGAGGTGATCCTCTGTGAGCTGATATCGTGGTTCCCCGTCTTCTGCGTCTTCGTACTCAATGTCAACGTCGGTATCTCGATTAGCAGAGCGTTTGAGGATCAGAGCTTCTCTCGGGAAGACCATGGAAAGGAGGGAGGGAGAGTCGGCTGGTACCGGAGGCGGTTCGACGGCGGAAGTGAGGGTGAGAGATAGATTGGTCCAGAGACGAGGTTCGCCGATGGCTAGAGATCGCCAGGATTTGCAGATGATCGAGGCGAGAAAGGGGAATGACGTGTTTTCGCTTGTGTGTGCGCCAAATGTGAATATCTCGAGGAGCATTTCGTCTGGGAGGACATCGATGGGGGCCTTGGGGCGTGCATGATTGGAACTATGAAAATGAATGAGCGAAAATTTGATGTAGAGCCTCTTTT